GATTCGTCCAAATGCACGTTCAATTGCGGGCTGAGTCACACTGTATAACGTTGAATCTAGAATGTGCTCAGTCCTCACGCGCCATGTTACGAATATGCATGGTATAATTGTATGCGAAAGTGCATATCAGGGAGTCATGTTGTCTGCTTGGAGCCCAGAGCGAACATAGATGATCTTGCCGTCGATGTCGCAGACTGACATTACACTGATAGGCCTTGTCCAAACAGCATAAATGCTTACTTTATGTTATTTGGAGTAGCTATTTCCAGGCAAACCCTGAATTCCTTTTAAAAGCCCTTTGAATAATAAGGCCACTGGGTTAGAGTAGATGTAAACCTCCAAAAGACGTTTGGCAAAGGATTTGTTATTCGCCTGCAAATCACCACCCCGAATAACATAAAATAAGCTTATTCACTGTTTGGACAAGGCCATTATTCTCATTTCCTACAATACTACATTCAGATCAAACATGGCATGTCGGTTCTTTGTATAATTGCACGTTCTGGGTATCTAGTCGCCACAGCCCGGCATCTCGTTGAACTCAACTGATATGCTTTCACGTGCAAGACGAGTTGCCACCACTGCCTGTGATGGCAGATTGTCTGAAGAGTTTAAAGATGGTTCTATTTTCAGGTTTGTAAATAAGCTAAGGAAAACCCATCCGAGGTCAACGTTGCTTGTTCAGTTCTTATACTCATAGCTCTGCCATGAGCTCGTGTAATCGCTGGTTGGTGATTCGCCTGGTTGGTGCAGGAGTAGTAATTGGGAGGTCGTCTGCTACTGCGGCCAACAGCCTGGGTTGGGTAGGGCGAGTGATCTTTTTAAGTCCCCGAATTGCGCTGGTGTATCTAGAATAATTATTAGAATGCATTGGTCGCATGAGGAATTGTTTTACCGAGTAAACATTGTAACAAGGGGGCATTTTCGATTTCAAATGAAGCTAGAGTTTCAGGAGACGAACTGCTAACGTTAGTATATATATATATAGGTTCCTATTATACATTCTCAGCTCATTACGCTACTTAGATAGTTTGAATATTTATACAATTTTGACCAACATTAGTCCGGAGCAACACTACACAGTGAGGTTACGACAATCCCAAGCCCCGTTATGTTGATTTTTATCTGTGTGAATGAGGCTTCTCACGTGGTGCCAATGTGGCGCAACACACCTCATTCCACGCATGTAATTGTTCATGGCTTAGTCTAAGCAGCAATCAAGTATGTGAAAGGTATAAATTGAGCAAGTGTGGGCACCAGCGTTAGAGCAGCACTTTGATTTTCCTGACTCTGTCTACCATTACTATATCTACTTTATTAATTTCTACAGTTGTGGTATTCATGGACACGCTATTAAATGGCATTCAGTCACAGACCATCGACTTGAGCGCCTTGGATCTAATACCATCATTCATCAATATTACATACAACTTCTACTATGGCAACACCGCTACCGATGCCGATTTTATGCCCGCCGAGCTGTTGCGCAAGTCGTTCTATATGGCACTATTGGATTTTCCAGTTCTAGTAGGGCGCTTGGTGGTTGATGGTAGAGGTCACGCCAAAATTGCAGTCGATAAGGACAACCTCAACCTTCCCAATTTCCAAGTGTCGCAGAGCAACGTCCACTTCCATGCCCTCCAGGCCTCCAAATTTAGCTGGGATGCCTTGCCTGATGGAGTTTATACAGCTGGAGCTGCTAGTACTGCCGATGCGAGTGGAGAGATGAAGGCGGCAAACATTCATGTGGTACGGCTACAAGACAATAGTGGCATTATCGTGTTTATCAGCGTTGCACATTACGTAGTTGATGGAACTGGGTACTGCGAGTTCGTCAACCGTTGGGCCGAGCTATGTTGCTGGATGCGACGCGACAATGCGGCGAGCGAGCCACCTGTGTGCTATTGCAGCTACGAGCGCTGTTCTATATTTGACAATATGCCTGATGGTCGCAAGGCACTCGATGATCCAACCCTCGAAATGGTTACTGCAACTGGCCCACTTGTTAGATGGCTGGCGTGGTTATCCCCCAATACTCGTGCTAGGCTGTTTGGCACAGCTCTGTCTCGCATGTCTGTGGTGAGCCACATATTCCATATTCCTCCCAGCAGACTCGCATGGCTACACGCGTCGGTTCGGGAACACCTCTCCGTCGACATTCGCCTTTCTGACAATGATATTATTACGGCGCTCCTCACCATGACAGTTGCCCAAAGCGAGGCCGAGAGCAAACGGGACTCTGCTTCAGCCACATATTTGTCATCACTGGCCTCGTATTTGTTTCCCTCCATGTATGCGCCGGACAGCAGATTTGTCACTGAGGTTCTGATTGATACGCGACCACGACTGAATGGTTTGAAATCTGCGAGGTACACGGGAAACTCAGTGCTTACAAGCTGCCTGGTCACTTCAATGCAGAGCCTGGTCGATGGTACAGACATACAGTCACTGGCACTTATTGCCAAAAGCGTGAGACAGCTGGTAAACAACGTTGATCCCCCGTATATTGGGCAGTACATCGACATGCTCCACAAAGACCCGGCTTGTTTTATGTGTTCGCCTACATCTGCTCTTTCAAAGACAACTATGCTGTTCTCGAACCGATCACGCTTTCCGTTATACCGTGCCGACTTTGGCGATGGCATTCCAACTTGGGTGTCACCAATTCAGACGTTTTTCCCCAACTTTTCGTCGATTCTACCTACGAACCCATCGACTGGTGGTTGCTTTATCTATATTTCCATGAATGAGCGGGTTATGGACAGAATTCTGCTAAACAAGTTCTGGATAAGCTCCGCCAAGGTGGTGTACTAGACGTATCATTGCACGTGCAATTACCATCAATATTATCGTATCATTAGAGCGGAACCAGAAATTATATACAACTAGCACTCTTCCGCAATGTCAGCATTCATGCCAACGGCCTTGTCCAAACAACAAATCCTTGTATGACATTAAAGAAATCTTATCCGAAATGCATGTCGTGCCCGTAGAGAGATAATGTACTCATAGATAACCCTCTTCATGGTGTTTTCTTTAGCACATATTACTCAGATACTTGCAGGAGTCTATTAACTAAGGACATAATAGTCAGCAACGCCACATTGTTTATTACGAAAATGTTCCACTTGCTGGCTGTTGGACGCAGTATCTAACGATGTCCCAAATACTTTTCCTGATCCAACAAGGCATATCACCAACCTAAGAAAGGTCGGCACCACAAGTCCTTCTGTTCTTGTACTCCTAGCTCTGCCATGAGCTCGTGTATGGTTTGTTTGAGTTTGAACTGAGTATATAGAATAAGAAGTGAGAAAAACAGTTAAGTTAAACCAAAGGACGTCTTGGGGCCTGATAAGAGTTTTACCCAAACTGGAGATACGGAGCTTAGAGAAAGGATCGACATGGTTACTAGGCCAGAACCAAAACAGAATATCAACAAAGTGGTGGGGAGACAACCTCCTGTATTTCAAGACAGTAGCTATGGCGACTGCCGTGTTGGAGCTCAGGGTCATTGCCTATGCCTGCTGTTTACCTCTGCCACCTCGAGTGGCTTAACTTAATTGTTAGGGGCAGGGCTGAAGAGAAGGCGCTGAGTCGCCACAAGGCAACAAGGCAAGAGCTCTTGGCATTTCTGAGGACGCAAGTCAGAGTTGGATTTGGGGGTGGCTGAGGCTCATAGGTCCAATAATTGGTCCCCACCAGGGGATGTTTGGATTTTTTATAAGCAATATTACCAGTTTACACACATCAGTTTACTCTCTCATTCTACACTTTTGTTAATTGGAGATTCAAATGATTTGGTGGGCCAATTATTGTGTACCTACTCTAGTAATAACAGATAATATGACAAAGCTGTCCTTGGCATACAAAACAAGTAATATATGTTTGCTATATGACATTAGCGCTTGTATTACAGCACATATGTTGGTAATAGCCGCCCTAGGCCCAGGTATCATAAGGAAATGAAATTTTGTATCTTACCAAGGACATGTCTTGTTGGCTGCTATTCCAGAAAGCCTGCAGATCTCCACACATACAGATCGCACGCCCCCAGCACCACATACAGATCACATGCCCCCAGCACCAACCAGACGAATCACAAACAGACATGTATTCGAGCTCATGGCAGAGCTCTGAGTATAAGAGCAAGAACTGGGATGCAGACAAGAGATGTGGAGAGCTTAGCTTATTTTTACAGACTTATATCTATTATATTCTTTGGTCAATCTGCCATCATGTCTTGCCACGTTCAAGGCAAAGGAGTGTGATGTGAGGAAATTAAGTGATGTTAATTTAATGCAATGAGAAGTTGATAATTTTAATATGGAGCAGGGAGGATGGTGCTAGGTGTTCACTGTTTCATATATTTGTAAACTGTGGTGAATTGTGTTTAAATTGTGACTAGTAGCGTAAACATGTACGCACGTAGCAGTGGTAGGGTAAATATGTTGATTTCGAGACATCAGGGGAATGGGGATTAGATCAGAGGGTTAGTAAATGCATTAATGTCGATGGTTCAATCAAGCTCTAATATATAATTGAAACAGGCATTGATTGGCTATCGAAGCTTAGATTATATTGACATTTATGCGAAGTGATTGGTGGCTGCGACGTTTAAGCTCGCGTGTATTCTCTTGGGCGCGTAGTTAAATAAAGCATGATGTTGGTGCAAGTAGAAGGCAATCTGTAAGAAAATTGCTGCAATTATGCATTGTCTACACATACAACGTGGTGTACTTGACATACACATCTTGCAACCAAGGTGGTGATATAGCACTACACCGATTTGACTCAACAACATGAGAAGGGGTTGAATATATATAGTGGCATACACCAACATATCAATCCAGGAATCGCTCACAGGCTTAATGGTTGATATAAGGAAACACATGAATAAGGCAGGATCTTAGACCTGGAGTTTTACCATCTTGGTAATCAACATACTTGATGCTGGGACTAAAAAAATGGTTGGTACGAAAGTCCAAAAAAGGAATAGGGCATTCCGCAACGGGGAATTGAACCCCGATCTTTGCGGTGAAAACGCAATATCTTGCCAGTAGACCATTGCGGATGGCTGGGTGCGAAAGCACGCATTTGCACTTCGTTTCACATTGACGTTGTTTGCAGACAAAAATGTATATTTAAAGCAAAAGCCCGCTGCTTTTACAAAGAGAGCTGCTGTGCTCATTGTAGCTTCCTTTTCCTTAAAGCAATGCTTTGAGGAGTCTTTGCGTGTCGCATCATGTGGACCCTTTCCAGCGCTGGTTTCTCTGCCAGCTTTTGCCTAAAAATAATGTGTTGATTTGGAA